ACTAGTCAAGGTCACCTTCCAACTCAAAGCAAAATGTGTCAGAATCCTCACTTTCCTCCACCAAAACGTCTCAGTCTAGCTTGCAAAATGCTTTTCTTACCATCTGTCTCGCACTCTCTCTCTTCCAGTATACATTTTAATTCCGACACTTTCAAGTCTTTCAACAATTTTTTGGGAGCCATTGTCTGTCTTTTTATTTTCCTGGTCTATCACACACGCCACACTTGACACCAATTGTTACGTTTTTCGTCGGTTCCGTGTGGATAGAAAGTCACAATTTATTTAAACACTATTTATTTAACACTAATTAACAAAAACAATAACGATAAAAGCTTATAGAACTATTTACAAACGATTTATAACTAAGAATTTATTTTGAATTTTAGCGTCAACTGTATATTTATAACTGCCTCTCTAGGCCACTGCCGCCGGCTTTTATACCTACAGCAAAAGAAATCTAGAATAGTCCATAGATCGTTAGGCGCATAGAGAAGGTTTTCGAATGTTCTCGTATGTACTAGTCCATTCTAGTGGGTCTCGATTTTTCTCGAACGAATGAATCATTGCGGTGTCTATGCGATGTTAAGGTCATCCGAGGGCGGGTCATATTGTGAGGTTAGGTCGAGTCCACACCGGCTCGCAACAGTATATTTAAAAAAATATATTAATTTGGAAAGCAAAACCCAACTCAACCAACTCAACCTTGAATTCTCTGAGTTACGTTTTACGTACTCTTATATTCATAGATTTAGGAAGAACAGATATCACATTGTGCATTTTAACCCGATCAAACAATCGGAGGTTGACTACATACTGTAAAAACCAACTGAGATAGAGAAGGCGACATTGCCACATCTCAAATTTGCGCCTATCTGCTCAGTTTGATTTGCAGAAAAGGTGACTTTAAAACATTTACCGGATATGAATAAATCTCAATTTCTTAATTAAATTAATAGTTTATTTTTAAAGAAGCACGCGTAATAATATGTTATTAACTAGAGGATATATGCGTTACTATTAAAGGACATGTTTACTGTTTAATATGCTGAAACGTCTAGAACTATTGGCAACGTCGCTGCTAGTCTTCCAGAATGAAATGAACCGTCCGTCCCACCACCCCTCGCGACGGCCCTTGGTCCGTTATAGCGTACTACGTTTAGCTTACGGACTGTTTGAAGTCGGAATCAAGTCCCAAGTGAACTTTTCAGTGTTTTTCAGTAGTTTTTGTTTTTGTTTAACGTATTTTTGAATCTGCGAAATTTCAATATGGTACAACAGTGTCAAGTGTGTGGAAAAATAAGCTCAAATTAACCGAATTTGTCTTTTCACAGGTAGGTACAAATTTCCACCGTAATTGTACATAGGCGTCCCACAGGGGAGCCCCTTACAATTAAAATAATTTCTAATTATATTTGTTGAATTTTGATCTATTAAAACAAGAACGTAGTAGCCGGTAATTGAATTATAATTCGTCTCAATTACTACCTAACTGTTGTAGATCATAACAAATTTGAATATAAACGTTGCATTTGAAACTTTATTATAAGCCAGAAAGTGACATTTTTTTTCTTAAAATTGTGTCATATTTTGGTCATTATATACGATATTCTAAAGGAATTTTGCTCAACAAATAAACAAAGGTGTTTACCCCACCTTTTACATTTTACTGCTTTATTATATCTGCCCCTTCGGCCTTGTTTAGACAATTTTTTACCACCGTACAAATACCTCTTCCTAGAGTTATTTGTACGGTGTGTTTGCCTTTTTTTAGAATGGGACGAACTGTAATTTTAGGCTACTAGTTTTATACATACCTACATACAGAGTGACCCAGGCCTCCAAAAAAGCTTTTTACCTATTACGTTTTTGGTTTGTGATTTTAATTTCAATTTTTTACATAAGATGGAGGCCATTGTAACGCACATTTTCAAAATATTTTTCTTCTTAATACAGTTCATGAAGATTGAGACATTTAACTAAAATTTGATTGTCTGATGAAGCTACATTTAAAAGTAATGGGTTTGTAAATAAACGTAATATTCATTATTATGCGACAGAAATCCCATACTGTAGCACACAGATTTGATACTTTTAATGATAAATGCCTTCTATTGAGAGACTAAAAGGTAATTGCCTCATATCAGAGCCATCACAATACAAGAAGAAGACCGAAAGAGTCAAACCTTGTCTTATATTTTCAAAAAAACACAATTTTCTCATTAAATATTGATTTTAGGTATAGAAAGTTATTAATAATACAAGACTAAACAACTATTACACAGTACTTCACAGGAAGCTATCGATTGCGAACTAACTAAATCGTTACTAATTACTAATTTTGAAAAGTTCTTTTAAGATCAAAAAGGTAAAACTAAAACCTAAACTATTATTTGAGATTAAACGGGAAGTTCTAAATAATGTTGCCTATTCTAAACAAGAAAAATTTATTTATAAGTTTTATAACATCTCTAATTAAATTTGGACGAAAAGAATATTTCTGTTTGCTGTAGGTAATTTTCTCAGGGAAAATACGTAAATAAAAATGACTTTTTAAGTCAAAAAAAAGTCAAAAGGACAAGTTATTCCAAAAAAGGACTGTCCTTTTCAAAAAAGGACAGGTGGCAACCCTAGGTATTTCTGGAATGAAAATTTAATGGCAAATCTACAACTTTAGTTTGAAAATATGTTCCGGCCACCTATGTTTACAAAAATGTCTAAAATGTGCGTTACCATTGCCTCCATATTCTGAAAAAAAATTGAAAGAAAAATTTTACTAATTACTTTACTTTTACTTTACTAATTAACTTCCTTCCAAAAAACGATACGCCACTGGCCATTAGAACAATCCAAATGCGCCTAGTTGCCGGGGTCGGAAATTTTAGCCTTTTCTGTCTCTTCTGTCCTTGTTTGACACATTGGAATGTTTGATACACTTCCAACGAGTATTTAGAATGAGATGTTCGGTCTATCTTTATAATGTCTTTGCTTATATTGGTTACAAATCTCCACTATACAGGGTGGTCCGAACTGTATTCCGGAAACTTCGGCAATATATTCTACAGATAAAAATAAGCAAAAATGTTCGTATAAATGTATGTCCTAAAATGCTTAGTTTTGGAGATACAGGGTGTAGAAGTTTCATTTTTATTTCGATTTTTTTCAAATAATTTCTGAAGTAACGTCAATATTTGGATGAAAATTGGTGGCTGGGAGTTTTTTGACATGAGAAATTTAATTTTGATGTCAATATAACTCCTACTAGTAGAGGGCGCCACCTACATATTTTTTAACTGGTTTGAAGAGTAATAACTTTTCGTCTGTACCTGTATAAAACTACTGAGTAAAAAATATACATTTACGACGTTTTTTACGTGAAAAAGGTCTCTTGGTAAAAACCGCTGCAAGTAATGGTTTTCGAGATATTTGGAATAGAAATTATCAATATCTGTCATCATTGACATAAATTAAACATGTTGACTAAATATAGTTATTAGACTCAAATCATAAATTTGAAATGTTTTTGTGCCAAACGTTTAACTGTTTTATCATCATTTTTTGCAGAAAAATTTATGATTAATTAAAAAAAATAAAAATTTCCCAAATTTATTATTTCAGTGATATAAAACTATCAACTCGACGTGTTTATTTTTCGTCAATAATGACATGTAAATATCTTAAGAACGGTTGCTTCTAGCGATTTTCACAAAGAGATATTTTTTACGTAAAAATTCACAGAGATGTATATTTTTTCGCTCGGTAGTTTTATACAGGTACGGACAAAAAGTTATTACGCTTCAAAACAGTTAAAACACACGTAGGTGGCGCCCTCTACTAGTAGGAGTCATATTGACATCAAAATCTAATTTCTTACGCCAAAAAACTCCCAGATACCAATTTTCATCCAAATATTGACGTTACTTCAGAAATTATTTGGAAAAAATCGAAATAAAAATGAAACTCCTACACCCTGTATCTCTGAAACTAAGCATTTTAGGACATACATTTATACGACCTTTTTTACTTATTTTTATCTGCAGAATATACTGCCGAAGTTTCCGGAATACAGTTCGGACCACCCTGTATAGTCGGCCGACTAAAAATTGTCTGTCAGCTCATAGCCTGATGCTAAGCAATGTAATCAAATAATCGACCGATCGGCTCCATAAGAATGAACTGTTTTCACTTTAGCAACCAAGTAGTTGGCCGACTAAAAATTACATGTCAGCACGTAGCCTAATTATTAACATTTGAAATTTTTTTTTCAAATGTGAGATAATTATTTTTAGTGTATTGATGTAGAATCTCTCAGGTTATCAATTTCTTAGAGATAAAATAATTATATTTCAAAATTAGTGTTCAATATTTATTATTCATCATTGGTAAACATAATAAACTTAATTATACGTGCTTTTTACACTAATAAAAAATTCAAATAAAAAAGTTCAAGCAGCAGCGTTAGTTTATGATTACTATAATTTCATAAAGTCAGTTTGTTCTTAAATACTATATAATAATAATAATAATAGCTACCGTATATAGCGTTTAACGCCTTGGGAGTAGCAAGGTACAGCTTGCCATGCTAGAGCCGTTCAGTATCCAAGGAAGGTAATGTGGCTAGCACTACGCTTCAACCGCCTATTATTACCTCAGTATTGTGAATCCCAAGTACTCATTTTAAGGGTGAGCCGACCTAGGTACCCAAACTATTTTTATTTTAATAAAAATAGTCGGCTGATGAAATGCCGGGTGTAGGATTCAAACCCACTACCTTGAGATTGGTAGACGAGAGCCTGTACCTCTACGCCACCTTTTCTTAAATACTTTAAATTATATATTTATTTGTATTATAAGTCGGAGATATTTACGCCAGTTATACCCAATGTAATGCAAATGCCATCAACATAGTATAACCCTTATATAATCTAGCATACCAGAGATATGTGTATAGTTTATTTAATAAAATAAAAAAATAACGATATGTTATAGATATCTCTACTTACCTGCCATGAATAACGTTTCAAAGCAAATCTGTGTCTTATATAACCTCCAAATAGTTCATCAGCTCCCATACCAACAATAAGTACCTAAAAAATAAAAATTGTACAGAAAAAATATATTATTATTTTTAAAATTCCATACTCTACATGGTGTAGTGTAGGTCTTGCATTGTCCTCTAGCTGCAAACCACAAGGCACATCCCAGGCTATCATCTAAAATGGTATTTAAAGGATATATTAAATCAGCGATATGTGCATCTCTTTCTTTATCCAATACATCTTTTGTAACATTAACTTCAATAAAATTCCATTTTCTTTCCGGGCAGCACAATTGCAATTCTTCCAACGTTTGCAACCCTGAAATAATCAATATCATACATGATACAAAGCTAGTAAACTTAGGAAAAATTGTATTATATTAAAAAATCCTTACATACCAGAAATTCGGTCCGGGGATTGATAATCTTTAGCCTCATCAAAGGAAACATTGATTAAATCTATTGGTCTTTTTTTGTCAACATACTTGTCACATAACAATGCCAAAATAGCACAATCTACACCACCTAAAATACCATATTTTTTAACAAATTCCACCTCAAAATATTACTTTTTTATAAAAATAAAATTTCAGAGTTAGTTTAGTCAGTGGATATAATACTGGATATAAAAAAATTGTGTGTGCACTATATGCGCATATTTGAAGTGGAACTTCTTCTTACTTTCGTCTGTCTGTCTGTTTGTCCGTCGGATACAGAACTCCATTCGGGTACCTCTATAAACGTGCCGAGTTTGGTTCCAATCGACCCATTATTTAGGAAAATCATGATGATTTCTGATGAAGATGTAAACAAAACGTCGTATCAAACTTTGCAGGGTGAGACCGTGTGCACCGTCGCTCACATAACCTACCCACCAAAGTTGGTCGCGAACGGACAACATAACTTTTGACGTTTCTTACGTCAGTTTTGACGTAAAAAACGTCACAGTGACACGTGTCGTACATGGTCAAGTTGGCTTTCTTCCAATCTATCAACATACCAAATTCCATTTAAATCGGACGATTTTTTTATTTGATTGAATTGATTGTTTTTTATTTGATTTTTGATTGTTTCGCAGCGCACGTTTTGTCAAAATATAATGAAAAGATGCAAGCTGTCCTAGGTAGGAAAGGCGCGCGACTGAAGCGACATCGTACACGATTCAAATACGTCGCGCGAGTCGCGCCCATCGCCCTCTGTTGTAGCATGCGTCGCCCGCCCTCTATTGTCTCCCACGTAGGACGAAGCGTAAATCGTACGATTTTTTCGCCATTGATGATGAAGTTTCATAGTGCACGAGACGTCGTCAAAATATCATGAAAAGCCTCATCTACAATCCAGTTTCAGCCCCCTAGCTCACATAGGGTCCGAGTTACGACGCTCCGTCTAAAGCTTGTCGGAAACGTAACCTCCGAATGTTCCCACTTTTTCTGACGCCTCTCGTGTGTTACGGCCTTGAATTTTTACTCCCATCGCGCGTAAAGAAGTTTCACTTCAAAAATGAAGGAAATAAAGTGAAATGAAAAGTGAACCAATGAGACTTCCTCAGAAAAATAAGTAAACATAGAGGTGCTACATCATATAAAAGATATTAGTTTGGAGAAAAAAACTAAAAAATCAATTAAATTGAGTATATATGTATATCAATAGACTGTAAGCCCAACTCACTATGCGCTGATATGGTGCGTCAGCGTGTCGATGGGATGGGTTGTGCGACGATTCGGCGGAAAGCCGATTTTTGAGGCAACCATCAGAGGAAATATCACGAACACAATGGACGAATTTCCGAACGAACAAACGACTCGCATCGTCGAACCGCACCATATTACCGTGCATGGAGTATGGACGCACCGACGCATCAAATTAATGCATCAGTGCATAGTGAGTATGGGACTTTAGGGAGAACCTAAGCAACTTTTACTGACGAAAAGTTAATCTCTTATACAGGGTGTTTAAAAAAACATGTGCCATCTTTCGTGGGGAGAATCCTCATGTAAAAATAAGATTTATTTTTTATATCAACACAGGTCCGATTCTGCTTTGATTGTAGCTACAGGGTGTTAAAGTTTTAATATTTTTTCGATTTATTATAATTTTCTTCCATGTACTTTTATCGTTTCGAATGAAATTTTGATGATAAAAGTTACTATAAATGCGACATATTTTAAAGTTAAAAAATTGTTGACATATTAACCAGGGCCGTGCATATATGTATATAGCATATTATATAGGTTATCACTGGAATATTTTTCTGAAAAAAAGCATGTACGCCACTGACTTTTTTTCTCTTGTTAGCGAAATAGTGTAAGCAGTTTAATGCCGATTAAAAGTTGTCTCTTGATATTTTGTCGATTTCGGCTTCCTTGATGAGATAAACGCAATTTTTGCAAAATTTGCCTTGATCCAAGTCTAAATCAACCTTTAAAAAATCGACGCCGGGAGGCACGTATAGCCGCCCATACTAAAATATGTTAATAAAAAGTTGGTAGGCAGTTCTTTTAGTTTCAAAGTAAAGGAATACTAATATAAATTTTTCCAATTATTTTTTATCTCAAAAACTGCGACTTTGACTGATTTTGATGTTGTTACAAATTGTGTTGCAAATATTATTCCTAATCTTAGGAATCTAATTCATAATCTCTAATCTGGTAGGCTATTAAAATCGGCAAAAAAAAGTTTTTTTAATTTCACTCAAAATGAGTTATTTGGGTCATAAATGACCTAAATACAAAATATTTTCATGGTTTCTGTCTGTCTGTCTGTCCGTCTGTAACACGATAACTCAAAAACCGCTAAACCGATTTTAACCAAATTTAGCACAAAATACTGTGGTACCCGAGAATCTGGCCATTAGTTTTTGGTGGGGGTGGGGCGTTGGTAAGGGGGTATTGGTACGCGGTTTTCAATTTAAGATTAGGTTCCTTTACTTTGAAACTAAAGGAACTGCCTACCAAATTTTTATTAACATATTTTAGTATGGGCGGGTATACGTGCTTCCCGCGCCAATTTTTTTTATTTTAATTTTATTAATTGTGCCTAATAAAATTGCGTTTATCTCATCATGGAGGCCGAATTCGACAATATATCAAGAGATAACTTATAAGTGGCATTAAACGGCCTACACAATTTTGATATCAAAATAAAAGTCAGTGACGCACATGTTTTTTTTTGAAAAAATATTCCAGTGATAACCCATACGCACGTCCCTGATGAATATACTGACACTTTTTTAGCATTAAAATATATAGCACTTATAGTAACTTTTACCCTCAAAATTTCATTCAAAACGCTAAAAGCACTTGAAAGAAAATTATAATAAATCGCAAAAATATTAAGATTTTTACACCCTGTAGCTCCGAAACAAAGAGAATCGGACCTCTGTTGATATGAAAAATAAATCTTATTTTTACATGAGGAATCTCCCCACGAGAGATGGCACATGTTTTTTAAACACCCTGTATAAACTGTAATATAAATTAGAGTTTCGAAAGTCTTTCTCCTTAAATTTCACAAATTTGTTATCAACTATAAAATATTTGTGAATTTTTTTAGATATAAAATCAACCCCCATAGGAATGGTATCAACAAACATTTTAGGACTCCTCCAAATTTACTACATATTTCCTTAAGGAGGCCTCTATAAGATAATCTCCCAATAGTCCTGAATAAAACCAAATATTTGTCAGTGTAAATCTGATGATGAATACTTTAAATATATGTATAACTCAACAACTTAATATTTAATACTAACATAATCATATGACTTATAAAGAAACTACTTTCTCTGAATAACAATAAAGTTTGTTTATAATATTTGTATTTGAATAAAGAATAAAAGGATATGACTAAGTTATATATACCTATTATTCTTTTATAATTAATTATATTACTTATTAATACCTATTATAACAAAATTAATGTTTAAGAGTGAATAACTACGATTAAATATTCTCTTTTAATTAATTAAAAGCATAACAAATACCTGAAAATAATATCCCAACGGTGGCATGTTTACAGTTTGCTTTATTCTGAATGCATTGCTTACAGTACTGAGGTTGTGTTGATATCCTTTTTGCTATTGAATTCTCCAACAATCTTTGTAATAATTTGACATTCTTCATCCATGTATTTGAGTTCAGTAACTGATTAAAAACTAGACTCCCTTCCTCATTTAAACCATTCTCCTTTAACCCCCTCAATATACACAGATTTTCATTTTCAATAAATGTACGGATTTGACCAGAATCTGTTTCATCCTCTTTTTGGAAAACATTTCCAATATCTGTCAATAAAAATGCTTCAAATTCTTTTAATTTGCTGAAGTAGTTCTTGTTTTTGTGCTGCCAACAGTACACTTCAAACTTGTTGCTCAAAATATTATAGCAAAATGTACCTACTGCAGGTATCTCAATGAAATCAAACTCTGTTCTCCGTTTGGCAACACTTGTAAGAATGAGAGTATCGCTTTCTTTATTCTTGCCAAGAAGTAGGCTTCTTCTACCAAAGATATCTCGACCAAAATATAATTTTTTATTGTGTTTGTCAAAAAATATAAAAGCATAAGGGCCATGAACCTTGTCCAAGTCATGTAAAGAGTTATTTGCGATATGCTCTTTTAAAAAAGCATAAAATAACTTTGTATCTCCAACATCTTTTTGTAGAGTCTCATTGAAACTAGAGAATATATCTCCGTTATAAATAAAAATTGAATCAGCATCTTCTATGGGCTGTGCAGTTAGGGTTTTACCCTGTAACCACAGTACGCTAGAAGCAAAAGCAAGGGTGCAGTCATCAGTACTGAATACTTTAAAATCGAAGTTATCAGGCCCTCGATTTTTGATATTTTGTTCAAACTTTAACTAAAAAAACAAGACTTAACTAAATGAATAACATTATACTAAACGACAAATATTATTAGATGAGAATAAAGTGTTTACCTGACTAATTAAATTGTCACAGTTATTACAAAAATTGTTTAGAACACAGAAAATTCCACACATCCTATCCTTTTAAATCTGAACTGAAAGTAAGGTTATGATGCGTCATCTCGCAATTTGACACCTTGTATTTTTAGTTGCATAAAATATAAAATGATATTTATGCTATTGGCGCTCTTTATAAAAATGATACTAATTTTATTGCATTAAGAATTTAGCCAAAAAGAAAATAGGGTACTTGGTACCTAATTTCTTAATAAAAATAAAAAAAAAATATTAATTAAATTAACAAAGAAGAATTTAAAATATTTTTGTAGATACTTTTATTCTTGTCTTGAAAGCTTGTTCGGGTTGATCAACATTACAAAAAGTAAACACATTAAAAAAACTAAAACAAAATGATCCGAATTGTTTATAATAAAATTTAATGTAGATGTACTATTTCGCGATGGTTCTGTATAATGTTATAGCAAATCTGAAATCATGCAGTTATTTATAGCAGGTATTGAAATAAAACAGAGATACTGCGAAATTTTAAAGTAATAAAAAGAAAACCCGAAATATCGATTCTTTACAATCTGATGGGCAATATATTTTATTGTAATGCTAACCAGAAGGTCAAGATTAAAACCTTGTTTGTCCTGGTACGAGATTTGCGTGCATAGCCCTGGTGACGTATTTTATAGTATTTTATTGCAAGCCAAAACATTTAGATTTTTACTTCTATCGATTATAGCATAAAACAACTTTCAAGCGCAAAATGTACTCGACATTGCACGAATACACATCAAAATGTGTCTGCTGTCTACCTTCAAATTCAAATCACACCTCAAATAGTGTGTGTTAGCGTGATGTGATTTAATTTTCAATCATTTCACCGATTAATGAACATTTTAAAGTTTTAACACGCAATATCGAGGTCTACCCACATCTCCACGCAATTACCTGTAATCAACTCTAATCTTTAAATTAAAACAACCCCCTTTTCGGAAATAGTACGTATTTTGAAAAATAGTAATTATTTATACAACCAACCATACTGTGCGCATGTATAAAGTGTTGCGTTATATCGACATCAGTTTTAAACTTGATTGTCTTCGAAAATAAAGCGCTGACCCAGCTTGTTTTAAAATATTTTTTTCTTGTGATATATTTAAAATAAATGATAAAAAGATACTAAAATGGAATCAAATATAAACTATACGTTGGAGGAATATTACAGGAAGTTTATTGATCTTCAAGATAAGTTAAAAAAGAGGTAATTATACATAATGCGTAAGCTGACCATGTTTTTGTTTGTATTGTACCTGTACATATTTTTAATTTAATTAATAATTATAACTTATGCACTTTTTAGTGAAGAACAGAGGTTTGTTTTGGAGAAGAAATTTAACGATATGCTTGAAGTAGCTAAAGAAGAGTAAGTTTTAATTCATTATTTTTTTAAATATGAATAATAAAATATTTTAAATTGGTTTAAAAAAGTAGAGTATTCGTTATCTACAGGTTATTTTTAAATATCTAGTTCAGGTATTATTATTTCATAGATCTACAGTTTTTTCTCTTTGTATATGAAAAAAATAATTTTCACATACAATATCTGATTTATTTACAATTATTATAATATACCAGGTGGCCCGAATTGTATTCGGAAAACTTTCACAGTATATTCTGCAGATCAAAATAAGTCTAAAGTTCGTATAAATTTATTTCCCAAAATGCTTCGTTTCGGAGATACAGAGTGTAGAAATTTTCTTTTTATTGCGTTTTTTTGCAAATAATTTTTGAACTAACGTCTAAATTTGGATGAAAATTGGTGTCTGAGTATTATTTGTACCACGAGAAATTCGATTTCAACATCAGTATGACTCCTACTTGTAGGGGACGCCACTTACATATTTTTTAGCTTTTTCGAAGTGTAATAACTTTTCATTCGTTCCTGTATTACACTACTGAGTGAAATAATTTATATGTTCGTCATTTTTTACGTAAACAATGTCTCTTGGTAAAAATCGCTACGAGTAATGGTTCCCAAGATATTTGAAATCGAAATAGTCAATACATGTCATAATTCACAAAAATTATACATAATATGTATGTTCAACATGTTGACTGGATAGTTATTAGTCTAAAATAATAAATTTGGAATGTTTTTGGGCCAAAGATTCAACAGAAACTGTTTTATCGTATTTTTTTTCTAGAAATATTCATAATTAGCTTAAACATTTTCTCCAAATTTATCATATCAGTTGAATGACAAGTACATAATATTGACTATTTCTATTCCAAATATCTTGAAAACGGTTCCTCGTAGCGATTTTTACCAAGATACCTTTTTACGTAATAAATTACGGAAATGTATATTTTTTCATTCATTATTTTTATACAAGTACGGACGAAAAGTTATTACTCTTCAAATAAGTTAAAAAAAAAACATGTAAGTGGCGCCACCTACAAGTAGGAGTCATATTGACATCGCAATTACACTTCTCATACAAAACATCCAGACACCATCCAGGCACTGATTTTCATCCAAATACAGACGTTAGTTCAGAAATTATTTGTAAAAAACCGAAATAAAAATAAAACTTTTCTACACCCTGTATCTCGTAAACGAAGCATTTTGGGAAATAAATTTATACGAACTTTTTTTACTTATTTTTATCTGCAGAATATGCTGTCAAAATTTTCCGAATATATTTCGGACCACCCTGTATACTCAAACTTATACGAACAAAAATGTATTTTAAAAAATTCTAAAGTAATTAACTATTTGTAAAATTGGCCGTTCTTAAGTAACACGAGCAAATTTCCTATTTGTAGATTATGATAAATACTATATAATATTAATATCTAAATATTAAAAAATACACTTAAACAGAATGAACGCGAAAGAAACTTTATGAGCAAAATTATTAGTGTTGTTTTCCGTTATTTTTTGTCTAAAGTAAAAATGGAACACAAAATATTTTTGATTGAAAACATATGCAATGTGATATGTGATCATGGTACAAAGAAAAATGATATGTGATCGAATAAAGATCGCGTCAGCGATGGCTATGAAAAGAATATCGCTGTCATTCTACAGAGTCCGGCAATAGTGCGTCGGGCCGTCGGGCATCTGTAACTCCTAGAATAAAAAACTTGAGAATTTTGTTTAAGTGCAAACCTAAATGTATGAGGATGTATTTCCGGAAAATATTTTAACTTCTATAGGGTGGCTCAAAAAAGTGTGAGTTGATCTGGATGATTTTTTTTAATGGAACACCCTGTATATTATTGCATTTTTGGCTTCCTTTCAGATCACTTTACATAATCCTAAGATATGAGTAAATCTATTTCGATAGTTTCAGATATATTAAAAAATAAATCAAAAATATATATTTTTCAACCCTTCTTAAAAAAATCTTAAAAATACAAGAACTATTCTGAAATCAAAACTATATTAGATATTTACTTTAGATGATCTGTTCTTACTTTGCTATAAATATGGTAATTGTAAATCTTACAGGATGTTCAATATTTTACGCCAAACTTTCAAAAATATAAAATAATTTTTCTTCGTTTTTTTAAATGGAACACCATGTATATTATTTTTTTATTTGATGGAGAATTAAAAACTGAACATTTTTTGTATTTAAAGTACCTATTTAAAATTTTTTATTAGTTTTCCGGATACACGCAGTATTATTTCATATGGCGTTTTCAATGGTAAAATGCGAGAAAAAAATCATTGGGTGGCTTTGATAAAAATTTACTGTGGAAAATGCCATATGAAATACAAAACCGGGAATATCTGCGAAACCGTTAAAAATTTGGAAATACTCTAAATGCAAAAAATGTTCATTTTTTAATTCTCCATCTATTGAAAAAATAATATACAGGGTGTTCCATTTAAAAAAACAAAGAAAAATTATTTTATATTTTAGAAAGTTTGGCGTAGAAAGGCTGAAAATATATAATTTTTATTTATTTATTAATATCTCTGAAATTATCGAAATATATTTACTCATGTCTTAGGATTATGTAAAGTGATCTGAAAGGAAGCCAAAAATGCAATAATATACAGGGTGTTCCATTTAAAAAAATCATCCCGATCTACTCACACTTTTTTGATCCACCCTATAGAAGTTAAGATATTTTCCTGAAATACATCCTAGTACATACTTTAGGTTTGCACTTAAACAAAATTCCCAAGTTTTTTATTTTAGCAGCTACAGACGCCCGACGCACTATTGCCGGACCCTGTATATGTAAAATAATATGGGGTATGTCATCGATCGTCATTTCCAAGCCAACTGGACTCCATTTTTTTTTCGATCATACGGTATTATGTTTTCCCGCAAAACAAGCAAATACTGCAAGTTAGGGTTACCAGCTATCCGGGATGCATCTTTCCGTTTCCTATACGGCTAGCGCAACCGATTGCGTTAATCGCATAGGAAACGGACTCGAGACCTGCCCAAACCAAACCAAACCAGGGTTCGGAAGTAGTTAATTAAGACGTAATTTACCTGATTAACTACGTGTAGTTTTTCGTCAAAAACTACGTCTTTTCCCGTTCATTAACTACATGAAAACTACGTTAATAAACTATGTATTGATATTATGAATAATTTTGCTTTGTATGAGGGGTCTAAATAATATGATGTGTGAATATTATATTTAAAGCCATACAGTCTGACAAACGGATCTGAAACAACGGGGCAACGGTGAGGGGATCGCAATTTTCTAAAATCATGACCGATTTCATTCATAAATATCCACGAGCGTGCGGTGTTTCATAAAAATATATCAGGAATTTTTATATTATTTTCCAGTAAAGTTATATATATATAGTACTATACTAATTACTAATATTCGTATTTGTCCATAAGAGGTTATGTTTTATGTTCATTTGTAATTCGGTTATCACAGATATAATATAAAATACTACTAATTTTTATCTCGATATGTCGAAAAAGATAATTCGAATTAGTTAGTTTTAATTTACTATCGAATTAGTCGTATTATTTAATTCGAATTTTCCCAACACTACTAGAAAGTTCATTGCAAGCGCTTCTTTGCGATGACCACTTAGTAAATGGAGTTGCAAGTCTTGAGGCCGTTTCCTATGTTACTAACGCAATCGGTTGCGTTAGTCGAATAGGAAACGGAAAAATGCATCCGGGATTTCCGGGAAAATCTCGGATTTAGGTAAGTTGTCCCGTATCCTGGAAAATTATTATACTATCTCGGAAAGGCGTCAATCAATTTATAAAATTAAATGTTCACAAAGTAAAAAATTGGCGCCGGGAGGCACGTATAGCCGCCCATACTAAAATATGTTAGTATGTAAAATATCTCGAAAACTGCGACTTTGACTGATTTTGATTTGGTTTGGTTTGTTTGTTTGTTTATTCCTAATCTTAATTTAAAAACCGCGTTTCGCTAGCTACTGTAATTTTGGAGTTACGATTTTTTAAAATTTTTAACCCCCTCCCATACCCCCATGCCAACCCCCCACCCTCAACAAAAACTAATGGCCAGATTCTCGGGTGCCACAGTATTTTTGTGCCAAATTTGGTTAAAATCGGTTCAGCGGTTTTTGAGTTATCGTGTTACAGACGGCAGACGGACAGACGGACAGACAGACAGACAGATAGACACCATGAAAATATTTTGTATTTAGGTCATTTATGACCCAAATAACTCATTTTGAGTGGAATTAAAAAAACTTTTTTTTGCCGATCTTCAAGCCTACCATACCTATTGGTATGGTCGGCTAAAAATGTGTTTATTTTTTTAGTTTAGTGTAAATTTTTTAAGTTTGATGTAAATAACGGACAAAGCACTTTTGTATAGAGTTAAATTGTGTCCAATGAACTTATTTGGATTTCAAAAATACGTAGTAGTTCTATGTCCACGGAATATTGGGACAACCTGTATACTAACATTATTCCATTACGTTTTTGGTTTTAACTTTGCTCGTTTAGATTTAATTATTTCCCTAAAATTACGTTATTTACGTTTTACGATAATTGTACAGGGTGAGTCTTAGATAAGTGGAAGTATTTTTAGACCATTATACAACCAAACTCGGTTATTTTGGATTTGTTTGAAAAATAGTAAAGAGAAAATATGTTTCATTTATGGAGATCTACCAGCCCAGCGAAAATATTTGCATTTATTTAAGATTCACCCTGTGTAGAACTACCTTCGTCTATCTTGTGCTTGTGTCAATAAAACATGTTTTGACTCTGATTTGTATAAATTAGGTTCCACACACTATTCCCGCAAATGTGTGATAGGAAGGAAGAGGTGATTTTTTAAAGCATCGCCATTTTTCTTATTGCTCTCGCGTTTTTGCCCTCCCGGAATTTAGTTATAACAATCTGACAACCCTACTGCAAGCTTTTACTGCATATGCAAGTACATAAGTATAGGTATTCTACAATAATCATATTGTTTTGATTACCTACTTCTTATAAATTAATTTACAGCATTAGAAAACCTTTTGACGTGAAAACATATTTTTAAACTAATAATCTTATTAAAAGTAATCTTATAAGAGAGATTGTAAAAACGATAAAAGTATTAATTAAAACAGGTATTTATTTTTCTTTTACTCCCTGATATTTTGTATTAGTTATACATACCTGCAGTAAATTCAGTTAAATTCTAGATATTTAACAAATATACAAAAAAATTGAAATTTCTGTTGAAAGTTTACTGTTGAAAGTTTACTGCCCCTATTTTTCTGGACAATTTTTCATGACAGGCATTCTAGAATTTATTGATTGACGACGCGACGGAAAGATTATAGAAATTAATTGATAGCACAGTTGATAGAATTACAAAAAAATAATTTGCCATATATTTTTAAACTAATTATCTTATTAAAAGTAATCTATTGAGATAAAAAAGATTGGAAAAACGATAAAAGTATTAACAAAGGTATTAATTAAAATATTTATTTTTCTGTTACTCTGTGATATTTTGTATCATGTTCAGTAAATTCAGTTAACTTCTGGATATTTTTCGTAATCTTCTTCTTTACGTGCCGTCTCTTTCGTGGACGTTTGCGATTACATTGGCACAATCTTCACGATTCTCGGCTTTCCTTATGAGTTCTTCAAAAGTTAGGTGGGTTCAATTTATGATGTTTCTCAACCAAGATAGTTTCTTCCTGCCGATACCTCTTTTTCCTTCAATTTTACCCTTAACTATTAGTTGTAAGACGTGGTATTTTTCATTTCTCAATATATGCCGTAAATATGATGTTTTTCTTATTTTTATTATATTGAGCAATTCTTTTTCTCTGCCTAATCTGTTGTAAACTTCAGTATTTGTGATATGGGCTGAATGTTTCGAACGATTCGAGGCGATTCATCTCTTTAACTTTCAGTGTCCATGTTTCTGCTCCCTATAATAGGATTCACCAAACATAACACCTGACGAGCTTAGTCCTTAACTCAAAGTCCAATCTGGGGTTCTGGAAAACATTCCTCATTTTTAAAAATGCATTTCTGGCTTGTTCTATTCTGGTTTTTATTTCCACGCCGTTGTTTAAGGTGTTAACTATCCAGGACCCAAAATATTTGAACTTGTAGACCTGTAGCTCTAAGGTATTGTCCTCTATTTTATTTTAATTTGTGGTATTAATTAATATTTTATTATAAACAAATGATATTCAAAATCTTCTTACCTCTGTAACTTTTTTATTTTTTCAGATAAAAAAGAGATTTGATATGTTGTAAAATGTAGAATGTTTAGGAGGGGACGACACCGCGACCTTACAGATCTATTTTATGTTCCCCTTTCTTGAGTTATAACTCACCATACAGTCTCAGGAATAAAACAAAAGCCAGTATCTGAGACTGAGATGGCTCCACAGAGACCAGCTCTCCATCATCGACATCAGCCGTACCAAAGTTCATGGCACGAACGGTCCTCGTCTCGGCGCACTCAGTGATGGTGGTGGTGGTACTCAACTGGTGTTCTGGTGTTTCCCCGTTTTCCCCACAGAATCTGCATTCGCCGTTATTTCTCAACATCAGCCTACTGAGGTGTATATTGAGGAGTGTCCTGTTAGAAACCCCATGACAATCCGAAGATTGTTTTTACTTAAATCAAGGAAAATCTTTGATTTTTCTCAGTCGTAAGTTCTGAAGAACTTTTCGAGAGTCTTAGACCGTTGGAGGACTCTCATTCCAGGTTACGGATGGAGTCTTCTTGGTTCTTCAGTTCCGCTTTTAGTTGGTTTCAGCTTGGGAAACAGAACGGTTCTGGTCCAGTTAATGGAGCGTTCGCTCTTTTTCTAGCTAGATCATTTGCTTTTTCATTGCCTTCTATCCCTTGGTGAGCGGGCACCCAGAATAGGCATTCTTTGACCAACTTCGAATTGATGGTTACTGAGTTTATCGTGTTTAGTGCTCCTTGACTATCGGATAAGATGGCTATTTCCTGTTTTCCATAGTTCCTGCCTAAGATAAATTGTACGCATCTTTCGATAGCGTAAATTTCTGTCTGAAGGATGCTGGGGTAGGTGCTCATTGATTCGGAGTATTTAGTGTTCGGCCCAAATACTGCTATCCTGTCCCTTCTTTGGTTTTGGAAGCATCAGTATACCACGTTATGATATGGTCTTTTACATGCTGAGCAAACGTTTCTCCCTTCCAATCCTTTTTATTACTTAATACTACAGTGAGGTATTTCTCAAAGTTGTAAATTCTTGGTATGTTATCAATTGGGAGTTGGAGAAGTGGAATTTTCTTTTTGAGGGTGTTCCAAGCCCCTGACCTGAAAATTTTCCCAGTACTGGTTCCGTCAATCATCATTATAATTATTGTGGCATTGGCATAACTACCGACGATAATGTGTTAGGTCTAGGATGACCTCCATTGCTGCATTGACCTCCACTTCTCATGGCACCTGTTACGCAGATTCATGCCAGTCTCTGTACTTTGCACAGGTTTTGCGTTGCTGTACGTTGCTCTAGTTTTGTACCAAGCAACTGCTCCATAGGTAATCATGAGTCTTACTATCATTGTATACATCCAGTCTTCTGCATATCATGAGAGCCTTTGTGGCTTTGCTTGTAATGTTCTTAATATGCCTGTTCCAGAGAAGTTTACTGTCCAGGGTTATTCCCAGATATTTGACTTCCTGTGATGGCAGTATTTCCTTTTCGCTAAATGGATTCTTTTCAAGTTGTTTTTGTGACTCACAGCGATGCGGAGTCGTCTTTGGATAATATCACAGGGTGCCTTCATGTATCCGCCTCATGTACATTAAACTTCTCTTAAACTTATCAATTACCTAAACGCCTCTTTTTCCAAACCAAACCAAAAGAAAATAACTCGGTTATTTTGGACTATGAAAAACGGTAAAGAGAAAATATGTTTCTTTTATCGAGGTCTACCAGTCATGAAAATATTTGCACTTATTTAATATCTTTTTTTAAGACTCACCCTGCATAGACAGAAAAACAAAAGTATCATAGTATGCCGCCCATTGTCAGACTATTACTATCGACATCTATAGATATACAGCACACATTATCTTCAAGAATCATACGAATATCTGCTAAGTGTTGAAATTGACTGCAATTCTCATGAAGCATTTTATTATCAAAATACTAAAGTAGCAAACCTTTAAGCAGACTTAGCTAGTAATGTATAATGCACAACATTAATGGTAACCAGCTGAATATTAAAAGTACTAAACCTATTAAAAAAATCTTTATCAGACCTCAGGCACGTCATTGCAGTTGGGTTGGTTTGGATTGGTTTGCAGCACCAAATTTAATCAATTACCTAAAAGCCTTTATTTCGTTTAACTCGGTTATTTATTAATTCTATTCATTACCCAAAATTTCAACACGTTCAAGCTGAAAAATCTATACCTTTCCGAGGACATTTTTACACTAATAGTTTTTCATAAAATAATACGTATCTAATTATCCACTAACCTTTTTTTGAAAACGCTTTATATATAATTAATGTATTAATTTGTATTTTTTTGGGAAAATAAATAAAATAAAAATATTTCAGAGAACAAGTTCACTACAAGAAGCTCAGATCTCAGTACAAAAGATTTTTGGAGGAAGACCGAAAAAGACAAGAAAGAAACGAGCAAATTGTAAGAAACTTAGAAAGAATCGAAACACGAATTTCCATGCTTTCTGCTAAGACTGAAAGGATAGACGTTCTTCGAAAACAGTATCAACACTACCTACAAAGAATAGCATATCAAGACATGGCCAGGCGAATTGATATAAAACCTTTTGGTACTAAAAGAAGCAAATCGTTTGTAAAAGATGAAAAATCCAGTTTGTATCATCCAGAAAAATCTACCCAAACTTTCGATATTCATAAGCCTTTATTCGACCACACTGTCAACGAAAAACCAGTGCATAGAAACCATTCAAATGAAGAAAAAATTGAGATATTAGACAAATACCTGCAGAGTCTTTCTACTGAAAAAAGTGTTGATATATTAAACCAACCAAAGACTTTAAAAGAACCACTTTTGTTTGATAAGTATGATTGGAACAAACAGTCAGACTATTCAAGCGGATATTCAAACCAAGCCGCAGCTATCGCAGAGAACATCATGGATTCAATTTATTCCAGACATTACTACAAAAACGATCAAATACTTGAAAATAAGAAGAAATCTGAAAATACATATCCAGAAATATATCCATCTTCTGATGGTAGATTTCCTGGCAATTTATATCAAGATTACACTAAAACACTACTTGTCAATGATAACTCTAAAGTAAATGACCCTGAATATACCAACGGCCAACTTAGAAATATTGTGCACTCTAAGAAACATGACGACGGTACTTCCAAAATTCAAAATTCTTCTGACATTTCTTTTAAACTGGTTGATAGTCCATGTGGCTTATTTGAAAACAATTCTTATAAAAATTATAATAGAGAAGGGTATAGTGAAGAGTGTCAGAATAATAATAAAATATCTATTGATAACATAAAACAAGAAAACTTCTCTAATGCACCTGTTCCTCAAGCAAGAATTAATAATCCGTCAAATACACAAGAGATTGCAACAGTAAGTACAGGAAATATCAACCAGAGTCCTAGAGTAGAAAGTAAAAAATATTCTCAACCTAGTGTTCAACACAACGCTTCTACTGTTAAAGCTTCGGATAAAGAAAAAACAACGTTAGACTCTGAAAAGCGACATGATTTCAAATATGAAAACCATAACCAAGAGCAGCAATACGGAAATAAAGCACAGTTCAATAACACAATAAGCAAATCCGATATTGAAGTCTCTAATTATAAGCAGAATGAGCAAGATCTCCTTCAATCAGATGTGCAACAAAACCGTTATAATGCTACGGATTTAGAAGTACATCAACAGGCAATGGTAGGTCAGAATCAACACAATATTCATTATCATAATAATAATCACCAGCACGAAGATAAAAATGAAGCATTGCTTAATAAAAATATCACAAAATCTGATCATATTAGATCTCCTCAATATAATCATATTGAAGAGCATATTCCTGTTCAAGCAGTCGAAAGATTGAATTTAACAGAAGATAATAAAGCAGGTCAAAATATACAGGTTAGAATTCCCAATAATCACCAAATTGAAATAGTGGATAAAGAAACTCCACTTCACAATGAAAAACATCAGACAATTGATAAAAAAGAAATATCTGAATATGATTTCAATAACCAAAAAAATCAATATGACAGAGGTGATAAATCTGAAATAGTTCAATCTACTGCCAAGGAAAACATATTGCAGTATAATCAACATGATCCGATTCAATACCAATCTGACGTACTAAATGAACAACTGTCCCAATATGATCCCGGTACACAGCCAGTTCAACAAAAACATGATGGTTATACAACTGACCATTCCCAAATATCGCATATCAAATCTGGACAATCAGTTACTTATGATCATTACTATGATGAAGGACAGGCAGTTGAATCGCAAATGTATGATCAAAATGGACAATCTGCTCAGTGTGTTCAAAATGAACGAATTATTCCACACGATCCACATAGACAATCTGTTCAATATGATCAAAGTCAACAGCCCATTCCTCTTAATCCCAATATACAGACAAATGAATACGATCAAAGCAAAGAACTGATTGGTCAAAATGATCAACAATTTTCATATAATCATGGAAGTCAAGAAATTGATCAAGATGTACAACCCCATCGTTATGATCAAAGTAGACAATCATTTTCTTACAATAATAAAGGTGAAACAGTGCAGTATGATCAAAGCGGTCAAGCAGTTCACTATGATCAAACGCTTCAATACAGACAAGAGAACCAAAATGTTGAATATGATCAAACTGGCCATCAAATACAATATAATGAAAATGGCCATGGAATTCAGTATGATCACGCACCTCAATATAATCAAAATACACAACAATATGATGAAAATGGACAACCAATAGCTTTCCAGGATCAATATCAATATATGCAGTCTCAAGTATTTTATAATCAACACGGACAAATAGTTGAACCACAATACGATGAAAACGGTCACATGATACCTCAATATGATGAAAATAATCAGCTTATTATGATCTATGATCAAAATGGTCAACCCATAAATCATTATGATCAAACCCAACAGCAATATTATGATTACGCCAATCAAAATTTAACTCAATATGGTGGTGATCAATATGATCAATATCAAGGCGAGAATCAGAATCAGTACGTCGAAAATGTTCAGCAAGGTTATGTTGACGGACAAACTGTTAATGTTACTCAACCTGATGACAATAAAACTGATGAGATTGAGAGTAAATCTATCAATCATGAAGAACAGGAAAGTAAACAGTTAGAGGAAAGGAGTGATCACAATGCTGATGAAACTGATGAAACTGTTGAAGCAAAATCAAATAAGGTCATGGAAATGCTTGATACGGATACAGAAAGTAGTTCCAAACAGAATGTTAGTAAGGTTTCAAATGAGAGCGATTTTGATTTTAGTTAGAGAATATGAAATTTTATGTTTTAATTTGAATTTAATATTTTTTTTTTATATTTAATCAATTTTATTCTAATGTAATTTGAATATATCTTCTACATATGTTAAAGAATAAATGAGGCTACCAGCGCAAAAAAAAACGGCCTAACCCCAAAAAGCTTGTTTTGAGAAAACTTGGAATAAAGATTAGTGACAATAATAATGTTCGTTAATGTAACTAGTTTAATTTTCGAACAATATTTATTCGAACAATTTTATTGAAAAGAACAATTTTTATTTTGCAGAAAATATTTGCCTAATTAGTATATGTGAGTATATGTATGTATAGGTATGTATAAATGTTGATTACTAAAAAAAATAGATCAGGCCGTTTTTCTTTATGAATTTATTTGCAAAGTTAGTAGGCCAATATTAATAATTGCATGAAAACTATTAATGAAGCAAATTTTGTAGTTTAAAACTTTTATTGAATTCGTATTGAATTTAATAAAATAAATATCATTCAGTTCAAATTTGCCAGTTTGTGGATTAAGCGCGTTTTGCGCTGGTAGCCTCAAATTATTAAACAATATGATATTTTAGTGAGAATTTAAATATACAGGGTGGTCCGAACTGTATTCCGGAAACTTCGGCAGCATATTCTGCAGATAAAAATAAGTAAAAAAGTTCGTATACATGTATGTCCTAAAATGCTTAGTTTCGGAGATACAGGGTGTAGAAATTTCTTTTTTATTTAATTTTTTTCCAAATAATTTCTGCAGTAACGTCAATATTTGGATGAAAATTGGTATCTGGGAGTTTTTTGACAAGAGAATTTTGATTTTGATGTCAATATGATTCCTACTAGTAGAGGGCGCCACCTACATATTTTTTAAATGTTTTGAAGAGTTATAACTTTTTGTCCGTACCTGTATAAAACTACTAAGTAAAAAATTATACATTTACAATGTTTTTTACGTAATAAATGTCTCTTGGTAAAAATCACTACGAGTATTGGTTTTCGAGATATTTGGAATCGAAATTATCAATACCTGTCATCATTGACATACATTAAACATGTTGACTAAATAGTTATTAGACTGAGGTCATAAATTTGAAAGTTTTTGTGTCATAAGTTCAACAGAAACTGTTTTATCAAAATTTTTTTGCAGAGAAATCTATGATTAATTTAAAAAAATAAAAATTTCTCAATTTTATTATTTCAGTGAAATAACTATCTAATCAACGTGTTTATTTTTCGTCAATAATGACATGTATTGACTATTTCCATTCTAAATATCTTGAGAACTTACTCGTAGCGATTTTTACAAAGAGATATTTTTTACGTAAAAAGTCACAGAGCTGTATATTTTTTCCCTTGGTAGTTTTATACAGGTACGGACAAAAAATTATTAAGCTTCAGAACAGTTAAAACAAATGTAGGTGGCGCCCTCTATCAGTAGGAGTCATATTGACATCTAAATCAAATTTCTCATGTCAAAAAACTCCTAGACACCAATTTTTTCAAGGAAATATTGACGTTACTTCAGAAATTATTTAGAAAAAATCGAAATAAAAATGAAACTTCTACACCCTGTATCTCTGAAACTAACCATTTTAGGACATACATTTATACGAACTTTTTTGCTTATTATTATCTGCAGAATATGCTGCCGAAGTTTCCGGAATACAGTTCGGACTACCCTGTATATCTAGCATTTACATATGAAAAGTATAGATTTTAAAATAAATTTCTTAATATGTTATGGTTTGATGTTAAAAGTTTAAAGCAAATAAAACCTTTTTTTAAAGTAAATTAACTTTTGTTTGATTGCTTCACTATAAGAACCTTATAAGAACTTCATTTTAATTTTACAAAATAACATCACAGATCAAAATCAATAATATGTAATAGTTATAGCTCCCGTATAGCCTTTAGTTATGAGTTGATGACTCGCCAACTCCATGTCCTTGTATTGGGGTTCTGAACCTGGATAAAGGCTGAGCAGATAGGTGGTGTCTTTCCCCTTGCTCCTGGGCAGAAAGACCGTGATGGTCGCCCCTTTTGGGATGTTTTCTCCCTTCACTGCCACTAGTCCCGGCCCTTGCCAATTCTTATTTCCGAAACTAAAATTTTCTATTTTATGCAAACCATGTATAAAATTAATTTATCCCTCCTCCCACGAGTTGATGACTCGCCAACTCCATGTCCTTGTATTAGGGTTCTGAGCCTGGATAAGGCTCAGCAGGTAGGTGGTGTCTTTCCCCTTGCTCCTAGGCAGAAAGACCGTGATGGTCGCCCCTTTTGGGATGTTTTCTCCCTTCACTGCAACTAGTCCCGGCCCTTGCCAATTCTTATTTCCGAAACTAAAATTTTCTATTTTATGCAAACCATGTATAAAATTAATTTATCCCTCTTCCCACGAGTTGATGACTCGCCAACTCCATGTCCTTGTATTGGGGTTCTGAGCCTGGATAAGGCTCAGCAGGTAGGCGGTGTCTTTCCCCTTGCTCCTGGGCAGAAAGACCGTGATGGTCGCCCCTTTTGGGATGTTTTCTCCCTTCACTGCAACTAGTCCCGGCCCTTGCCAATTCTTATTTCTAAAACTAAAATTTTCTATTGTATGCAAACCATGTATAAAATTAATTTATCCCAAATCTATAAAAAATATTTGGAAACCAGGACTCCAATTAATGCCTAATGAAAAATCAAATCTTTCTAAAGTTTCCTATTAAACTATGTCTAAAATTACTTTACCCCAAAATATGCATAAAAAATATTTAGAAACCTGTGTGTCTTACACTGGTTGCTTACTGAAAAAATTAAATCCTGAAATTTTTTATTCAAATGGTCCGATTCTCGTTACATCTCCGAAACTAAATTTTTCTATTGTATGCATATGGATTCATTGTATGTGGTACGGAATGAAAAGAAATGTTAAATGAATATTTTAATTTTAATTAAAAATGTATTATAATCATTATTCTAGATTAAAAGAAAATTATCGTCAATACATCAATAAAGTAAATATATACTTAGAACAGAATGCCTATTACCACTAGTACAAATTTGAAGGAACAATTAACGTTAATGAAATAGTTTTGTGTTGCGTGCTAGTTTGACATTTTCATTATAACGTACGTGCCTTGGTGTCTATCATGAACACAGAAATCAACAAGAACAGTGAGATAAGACCATAGTTAATAGTAAAATTACTTACATTTATCTAAATTGTTTTTATCTAAATGAGTACTGTAAGCTAGTTTAATGTTTATTCAAAAAAGAAAAATAATATGGAATACAAGTACAGGGTGTCCCAATTTTGTTGAAGACATATGGTATCTTCGTTATTAGTGAAGATAGAAAGAAGTCTTCTTCTGTGATAGAAGGGTGCGGTTTGCACAAACCTGTCACTTTTTTGTAAATCGGAAGATTTTCATAGGCCTCTTCGTTTCTGACCTACAGGCTCTTTTTTAAAGTTTTGCAATTTGGGACACCCACCCGTATCTGTTATTGTTAAAGGTATCGAGAAGGTGAAAACTAAACATTATTCTGCGAAAAGAATATTTTTAAAGATATGAACTAAATTTATGTTTACTTGTCTTTAAGATATCGTTTTATTTGGAATAGTAATTTAAAAGTTATTTGCAAAAATTTACCTTCAAATTAGTAAAGTTTGTCAAATTCAATTCATTATGTCATTGTCAAATTCGTTGTTCACCAAATATGTTCGATGTAACTGGATGTAACCAAATAGAGTAATTTTATATAAAATAATTATATATATATGAATTTCGCAACTTCTGAAAAAGTTTTCCCGCTGTGTTAGATATGTTCGCAGCCCAGTCTCCGGAAAGCCTATACCGAATAAATCAACAGTTTAAAGAATAAACTAGAGGTCTGAAACTAAGGGCACTAAAGGTATTAAGCACATGGAAGTGTGAAGACAAAAATAATTTAACAGGAAGAAAACAACAATGACTTGAATATTCTTCATGTTGAAGAAAAGAAAAGCATTGCCTCCCATTTATTTGGGATACAGTAGGAAAAGACCACAGGATCTTTCGCCGAACGATTTCTTCCTGTGGAATACACTCAAAAATCGTCTTTATGGGCGTATTAATTAAATACAGAAATTTAAATGTACTGAAACGACATCTATGTGCATAGAATGTCACTAAAAGGAACTTAAAAATTCCCCCCTTAATAGCTTTGTATTGTGAATATTGTGAAGTATGACTTTCACAATCATTTGAGGTATTGTTTGGCTGTGAATGGGGGATTATGTAAACATTTTATTAATTATTATAGCAAAATAAAACACTAAATCACCACAATACACCAAAACACTTTTACTTTTACAATGGACGCGCGTTTCGCTAACCATGTTAGGTTAGGTTTGAAGACTGAGTCTTGATCACCTGCTGATAATGCTAACATGGTTAGCGAAACGCGCGTCCATTGTAAAAGTAATAGTGTTTTGGTGTATTGTGGTGATTTAGTGTTTTATTTTGCTGTGTAACATCAAAGGTTCCAACCCCCAACTGTAATTAGTATAGTTTAATAAAGTTCCTTTAGTTACAAATATTTCTTTTATTTGTTAAATTATTGTGGATATATGCGGAAGTAGTAGCGAGCAGGCCTGCGAGTGATCGAGTAATAAACAGCAAACATGTCATATACCGCGAATACTATTCTTAGTACAACTAATTCTTTTGTACTTAGATGATCATTCCAATTCAGAAAAAAATATCACTCTTTTCAAACCACATAAATTCTTGTAAACAAAAAAATGTGACATCAAATTTGACAATGACAAAATCATATTTTTGCTGGTATTTTAATTATAGCTTTCTCTGGGCCGTATTATATATTTTTAGTAAGTAATTTGAAGGTAGATTTTTGGAAATAACGTCTAAATGGCTTATTCCAAATAAAATGAAATTTTTAGACGACAGTACAACTTTAACGCCTCTTTAAAAAGGTCTAATACATTTTTTGCATAAAATCATTTGGGGAGATAATATTCGACCTTTTCAATTCAAAATTTTTATGGGATTTCCTATGTCCCGCGTTCCTATACAGGGTGCTACAAATTCGAGGTACGAGCATTGGTATCTCGGTAACCGTAATAGATACAAAGATGGTTAAATTGGGGCAAAGTTGCGCTTTGGGATATTCACCAAAATGCCATCAAAAAAGTTTTAAAAATTTCAAGGATTGCTGAGTTTTTTGGAAAAATATTTTTAAAAATCAATTTTATTTTTTCCTGTCGTTACTTTTTAGAAAATCAAAATACTAATTGCACATTCTCATAGCCGCTTTATTAGGGTTATCTGATAGTATTTTTAGATTTTCAAATCAGCTGATAATTTGTGAGATACAGAGGTCAACTTAATTTTTTTAAATACGGAACTGCATTTTTTATTTCCGAGTTTGAAAGAACTCGCTCTCCTGAGTACAATGATATACCACATTTAATATTTTTTTATTAAGTTATAGTTTTGGAAATTTGGGCACAATTTATTTAAACTAATTTCAAGTCCGGCTCTGTTTTTTTTTAATATTTAATATATTTATCGTTACAATATTGATAAGCTTTCAAACTTAACAGTGACGTGGGTTGAATACGGAAAATCAAATGCAATGTAATAAAGTAATAA